AATAACATGGCATGCCAATTAGGAGAGAGTAAAGTTTTTAAAGTTTTAAGTATATTTGGAGGAAAATAGTGATAGTTAGGTGATATTTTGGTCCTAAGTGAAACATAAATGATATTTCAAGGCAATTCTCCAAACTTGGGTGACCATTTAGGGAATTGACTCATTATTATTCATGGGTATCGTATGTCTGTTAAAGAATGACAAAAGTCCCACATCGATGGTTAATGAGATGGGTGGACTCCTTATAAGGCTTGGGCAATCCTCCTCCCTTTGAGCTAGCTTTTGAGGTGTGAGTTAGGCCTAAGACCTAATTTAACATGGTATCAGAGCAGGGCCCGTCTCACCCGATGTTGGGTCCCCCAAAAATAAAAAATTGTCCACGCACCAGATGCTAAGCACTGGGCGTGAGGTGGGGGTGTTAAAGAATGACAAAAGTCCCACATCGATGGTTAATGAGATGGGTGGACTCCTTATAAGGCTTGGGTAATCCTCCTCCCTTTGAACTAGCTTTTGAGGTGTGAGTTAGACCTAAGACCTAATTTAACAATATCAAATTTTATCATTGAAGTATTCGATATCTAAAATTTACTGACTATATTAATCTGAACTTATAACGAATAAGTTTAACATAAGAAAATTAATAAAAGGCTCATAACTAAAATAAATATATTTTTAGACTTAAATTTCGAATGATCTCAATAATTCCACGATATATAATTAATTTCTTAGTGGTCCATGAATCACACGTACTATTATTTGAAGCTACACAAAACTTCTTAATCTATCTGACTTTCCCTTAAATAATTGAGTAACACTTGGCAGTTCCCCACTGGTCCAGCACTTGTGCCCTCCTTTATTTTGTTTCTTCTAATCTTCCAAGTTGCAAAATATTTTTGTTATTTAAAAGGTACAGCATAGTATTGATACTTTTATTCAATAGCCATTTAATTCTTTTCATTAGAAATTTGACTTTTGAGTTCAAGTGATTATTATTGAATGGGTAGTTAATGAGATGACCTTTTGACACATTAGTACTCCCTCCGTTTGTGGCACTTTTCGAATTTCGAGATTCAAATAAATTTATCTTTGATTGTAAGTTTTTTATAAATTTTTCAAACATTTTGAATTATGAATTATTTTGATTTATAGTACTTTTTACGTAGTTTACAAATATATGAATTTCACTTCAAAAAATTGAAGATTTCATATGCACATTTCTGATCAAACTTAAATTATTTGACTTTTAAAAAATGAAAAGTAAAACAAAATTAGAATAGAGGGAGTTACTAATAAAAACCCCTTTTTTATTGTCTTTGTTTCTTTCTCTTTATTGTCATTAATTAAATTCATATAAATGTTGGAGCATTTAGTAATTTCATTAATATAATAATATAACATGTTTTTCTTCTTATAGAGAAAACTTGTTGAACTTGAATTCTGCTACATATTTATTCCAATCCTATTTACCATTTGAATAGAATTTATTTTTTTTGACAATATAATGATATCTTCTCATGTATTTTATTTACCGATCCGTTATATTATTTCCTATTGACCTCTTGTAAAAAAGAAGAAAAGAGAATATGTAACTAAAATAAAATTTCTAAAGAACTACAAAATCAAATCTCCTTAAATTCATTCTCCTAATTATTGTGGCGCGAAGTCTATTAACTTATCCCCTTAAGTTAAATTCTGTCCTTTGCAATGAATTATTATAATTTATAAACGTTTTGCAGCATATTATTATAGGAATTCCCAAAATTTAGATATAGTAGGGAGAGGTGAATTGAATTACTAGCCAATGAGGTTGGCTAAGACCTAAGCAATAGCCATGCCCATTTCAGATTTGAACTCCTTAATGGTTTCACCATTTCAATTTTTAAATTATGCGTATAGATTGTATATACTTTATACTAAATATAGAGACATATACACAAAATGTATTTTGACCATATTGGTAAATTAATTGGCTGACATTTCTTTTAAATTTTGACCTTATTAAAAATATTTTGGAAAAAATAATTTCTACGTCAGAAATTGAAACTACTCTCTTAGAAAACTTAGGGCAACTCATGGTTGTTCTTAAGCAAAATCTTGGTGATTCCCAGGATTTCTTATGTGATATTGATCAAGACTTATCTTAGCAACGCGTTATCGTGATTTCTCAGTGGAAAAATCCTGAGAAATTGCTAGATTTTTTTTGGGCAAACTACGTAAATCTCACTAGTTTAGGTCCTAATTACTAAGATTTCCGATAGTTTCAAATATTACTTCATCTACCATATTTCATGCTTAAGATACATGAGTTTAAATTCGCGAGATACGTGTATCTGCATAATTTTAAAATCGACATACACATTTTATCTGTTTAAATTAATTGGTTGTAACTGATTTCCTTAATTAGAGGAGTAATTGAGGAATTTCAAAATACATGGACAATTATATCTAGAAATTTAAATTAATAAAATCCCTAATATAAGGCGAAAATCAAGGAAGGTATATATGTTTAATTAATTTTATTTTATTATTCTTTGAAATAATAAATTCATTAATATTATTAATAAAAGACAAAAATATTTATATCTTGGTCATTTAATTTGATTAAATTCATTTTATTACTCTTAAAATAATTATAAATTCATTAATTTGATGTATCTATTATCAATATATCATGTATCCAACAAACTAAACACTTAGATACATGAGTATCATACAAGTACATTCATGTGTATCATAGAAGTATCTAGTATTAATTTCGTTATTTATTATATGTGTCTAGTATTAATTTCATGTATCTATTTATATGACCTAATAGAATTTCATATATCTATTTATATGATCTAATTTTAATTTCATGTATCTTTTATATGTATCTAGTATTAATTTGATGTATCAAGTATCAATTTCATACATTATATTCAAAAACATGTATCTTGGATACATAGTAAGCATATACATATAATTATGTGTGTCTAAATATGGAATGTAATTGAAACACACGAATTTAGGGATAAATCACGAGTGTGTAGTATTTGTCTTATCATTAATCCGAAAAAGTAAAAAAATTCAAAATTCTTCCCTTTTTTTAGCATATGGATTTTTTTCTCATAGATACATATAATTTTAACTCAAATACATGAAGTCTTAATTAGATAAATATACACCCGATATGTATTCAACATTGTTGCACTTGATGTGTATCTAATGATATATTTGTTCTGTTAATTAAAGTTTGGCGTAATTCTTCCATCTTGATTGGATTGTTCCTATATTTAGATCTATTCTCGGCTTGAATGTTGACGGATGATGAGTCAATCCCTACAATGAGAAATTCATGAGTGAACTAAAAAAGTAATATAGGTCCATATAAGTGGATGGAACTCATGGAAGAGTATTTTAGAGCTCAAAGATGAAAAGAAGATATTTTTATTCCATTCCCTTTACTTGAAGGATATTTTAGGCCCTTCTCCGAATTTGTTATTAGGATCATAAATAAGGAGTATAGTATTTATGAAATATCTCCTCTACTTTTTCTTTCCAAAATCCTAGCAGGCCCATGGGCTTATGCAACAGGCACCAGAGTCCAACTATTGGACCGTTTATCGTTTTGGACACGTTCATCACTGAGCTGTATATCAAATAGAGAATGTACTAAAGACTTTTTTTAGGTTGAAAAACAAATTATTCCTCAATCAATTATCTCACACTCAACATGGATAAAAGTAGTACGAAATATTCACTCTATTTCAAAAAAAATGATCTCCTTTCAATTTTAGTCTATTTCAAAAAGAATGATTTTTTTTTTGGTAATAATTTAATTTCAGTTTTTCACGTGGCATGTTTAAGGCCACAATATTAAAATGTAATTTTATACATTTGACATAACTTTAATATAGGACCACAAGATTAAGTCTTCTTTATTTTTTTAAACTCCATGTCAAGTCAAACTAGGTCATTCGTTGTGAAACGGGGGGAGTAACTAAGGAAAAAACTTACCTGCATTGGGTGTATACACCAAATTAATGCAATTTCCATTATTATGTGATTTAATGAAGTAAAACACATGTCAATTGATTAAGGTTAAGTAAAATGATCTATAAATTTAAACACATGACATGCATCTATTGAATTGATGTATACACCCGGTGCGGGTAAATTTTACCCACTAACTAATTTAGAAATAAATTATTTCACAATCCTACAAATAATTACGAAATAAAGTACTCCCTCCATCCATATTAGATGGGCACTTCCAACTTTACACGGTAATTAAGAAATTATTAATACATTAGAAGACTTTACCATTTTGCCCTTTGTTTAAACTTCCAAAGGCCATAGTAATTGTTTAAACTTAAGGTCATATTAATTGTAGGATAAAATGAGAAAAAAATAATTAATTATATCCTAATTTAATAAGTGCTCAAGTAATATAGGACAAACATTTTTAGTAATATGGCCATCTAATATGGGAGGGAGGGAGTATTCTTTATCGGATCCGGCTCCTCTCCATTTCTCTTCTCTCCTTTTTTCCCAAGTTCTAGTTTGGATTGGAGACACATGTCATAGTTTAAAATTAATGGTTGAGATCAAATTGATTAAAGTAAAATCCTAACCATAGTTATTTACTTCCATATATTTGCTTCGTAAATTAGTTGCTTAAGGTAGTTGTACCATTAGAAGATCCATTGGTACCGTTTACGGCACATGAAATCGGAGAAGAAAAAATTCAATTATGCGGAGAAAAGACAAGTGGCGGGATTTCTGCAATACAAAAAATAAAGAAAAGTTTTTCTCGGCGATCCGTTAAGCGCGCTTTCTCTCACTCACGAGAAAACGGAGAAGACAATCATCGTCTTCCTCATCAACTTTTCTTTCTTCTCACTCTTTTTCAACCATTATAATACTTATACTTTATAATATATGATATTTATAAACTTTCCTTTTTAAAAAAATAATTAATTTTGGTTGCTTTGGTTACCATATTTTGCTTTTTGGTATATTTATTTATTTGATTAATTCTGTCCATGGATCTGAAATTGATACCCGTGAGTTTTTTTTTCTCTTCTTTCTAAAGGCTCTGTTTCTGTTTGTTATGCCTTTTTGATGAACATTGAATGTTTTTTTTTTTTTTGTGATTGTGATAGAGGAATTTGTGTAGAATTCGGACTTGTAGATCGCCAGCTAGTTGCATTTGTGTGTTGTTTGACGTTCAGTAGTTGGAAGTCGATTTTGTTGTGTGGATATTTCTTCGTAATAGAGCAGGGGATTTTGAGATCATGGACAAGAAGAAGTATCCAATTGGACCGGAGCATTACACGCTTTTCGAGGAGGTAGGGCAAGGAGTCAGTGCTTCGGTTCATCGTGCCTTATGTATTTCTCTCAACGAAGTTGTTGCCATCAAAATCCTCGATTTCGAACGCGATAATTCCGATTTGGTACGATTCCTCTATTATATTTCCAGCTATTCTGTATATCTCTAGCTTGACGGCCACAAAATTCTCATGTTTTGTTGCTTATAAGAAAAAAAAAATGAAATGAAAATTCTACATTTCTGGTAAATTGTATATGAAAAAAAAAATGAAACTCGACATTTTTGCCTCAGTTCTTGCTGGTATTAGCTGATACTTAGAAGCTTAGGTTATATCAGTAGCTTCTGAAAATGAAAAGATTAAAACTAGATATATACCAGAATCGAGTAATTAGCTGCTCTGGCATTTTGGTTGATGATAAGCTGATTATAGGATCAATTAAATTTCTGATTCCTTTTTTTGCAACTCATATCCAGAATAACATCTCGCGTGAAGCACAAACAATGGTCCTAGTTGATCATCCCAATGTTCTTAAATCACATTGCTCATTTGTTAGTGATCACAACCTATGGGTTATCATGCCTTACATGGCTGGAGGTTCCTGTCTCCACATACTGAAGGCTACTCATCCAGATGGCTTCGAAGAGACCGTCATTGCAACAGTATTACGGGAAGTTCTAAAGGGTTTAGAATATCTTCATCATCATGGCTTCATCCATCGTGATGTTAAAGTAAGTCCATTTTCTTTGCGTATATCCATTACTAATGCATAGGCTGATTTTCTTTTATGTATTAGACGATAGACCATATAAATTCATGAGGTTTCACTTTACAAGTCTTATTTGACGATTAATAAGAATTTTGTGTTGGCACTTCCATTTGAAACTTGCTTCACTAGACATGATCTGTACATACAGGTGTTTGACAGTTTCAGTAAATGTTACTCGAATTTGAACATGGAAACTGATTCCTTTGTAGAAACTTTAGCATACCTGTTCCACTTAAGATCCCATGGAAATATGATAAAGGATAAATCTAATTCATGGTTGGAATCACCTATGTGAACACCCAAATGTCTCTTAAAAAAACATTCTTTCCATTACCATGCCGAGGTTGATATCACGCACTTGTGTGATTATTGCAGGCTGGAAATATTCTCATTGATTCACGAGGTGGAATAAAGTTGGGAGATTTTGGTGTCTCTGCTTATTTATTTGATTCAGGTGATAGGCAACGTATGCGGAACACATTTGTTGGAACTCCTTGTTGGTATGCTCTAACCCAAGAGAATGCTTCTGGAATTTTTATCTAAGCTTTCATGATTTATTCAATGGTTGATAACCTTCGAACTTTTGATCTATTCTGGTACTAATTACTGTGGACAGGCGAGAAGCTGAGAATAAGTGCATGCATAAAGTGTACATCTAAAAACTAAGATGTTAAAAATATTGATGAAGATTTCGCTCATATTTCACCTTAATGTTTTCCATAATTTAGATTTCTTTTACAGGATGGCACCGGAGGTCATGGAGCAGTTGCATGGTTATGATTTCAAGTAATGCTTCTGGTTAATTATTTTCTGTTTTCATCCTAAATGTGTACTTCTATTTGAAGGAAATCCTTTTTTCTTTTTATCCATTTTCATTCACAGAGCTGATATTTGGTCCTTTGGCATAACTGCATTGGAGCTTGCTCACGGCCATGCTCCTTTCTCAAAATATCCTCCAATGAAGGTGAATATTGTTAGTGATTCGTTTCTTGAAGTCCTAAATATAAAATAAAAATGCATTCAATATTCTATACTTATCAGGTCTTACTAATGACATTGCAAAATGCACCCCCTGGCCTTGATTACGAGAGAGATAAGAAGTTTTCAAAGGTAACTCAATAGTATTGATTGTTTAATGATAATGTTATTTGCACGTTGCTTATACTCCTTTTTTCCTTCTGTAGTCTTTTAAGCAAATGATTGCTAGTTGCTTGGTGAAAGATCCTTCAAAACGACCTTCAGCCAAAAAATTGCTGAAGCATCCGTTCTTTAAGCAAGCAAGGTCCAATGATTATATAGGTAGAACACTGTTGGAGGGTTTGCCAGCACTTGGAGATCGCATGAAGGCATTGAAGGTGATTAGTTGTGCCTCAATCTGAGTTTCCCCACTTTAGAGCCACATGATATTTCATCCAGATGATAATATTGTATCAGCATTTCTATGCTAATAATAGTTTTTTCCTAACCTAATTGTAGAGGAAAGAAGAAGACATGCTAGCACAAAAGAAGATACCAGATGGGCAGAAAGAAGAAATATCACAGGTTTGCTGTCATAACCAATTTCACGAGAAAACTGAGATTTTGATATCTGTATAACATAATGTCTTTTATTTATTGCCTTATGCATAATGAATACCTTACATGTTTACATTAAGCGTGCATTAGGAAATGAGATGTTTTTCTTCTTAAAATTGCTTATATATGGAAAATAAATGGAACAAACAAGAAAGGATAGGTAGTATTTTCCAGAGGTAAGTAATTCATACGACTAGACTCACTGGTTCATCCCAGTCGATTTTTCATATGTCAACTGCTTTTAAAATTTGATATACAAAATGGAAGTAGGAAATTTTTTTCAAGAGCTTAGCCACAAACAGGGTACTAGCAGGTTGCAAGGGGAGAAGTGTTTTTAGAGGAATTTTATTTAGTTAACCAGATAATATCTTAAAATGTTTTTTGATCAAGGTTAACATAGTTTCGAAAGACGGACTTTTTAGATCCTAAGAAATTTACCCTTTGTGTTAAGTTAATGCTGCGAACTTAAACTCCCTATATTTTTTAGGATCGCCACCTTATAGGAAATTTCTGAACTCCGAGGTGATTGTTTGATAACATTGATTATTAAACCCCGATACAAGTATCTTTAATTTTTTTGGGAATACCTACTCCCAAGTTTATAAGAGAAAGAAAAGAAATTATTCTTCATCTAGCAGGATAGCAATGCAAGAATTTTTTCTTAAAGCATTGACACTTGTTTTAGAAGTTGTTCCATGCCATGTTTCCCTTACTTTTTTCGTTACTATTTTCGCTTCAAATTCTTTTTGCAGACCTTAATTTTGGTACATCATTGCAAAATTCATTTTTATCTTTGAAAATTAGATCTTACTGTGCCTCAATGCTATATGCAGAATGAATATAAACGGGGGATTAGCAGCTGGAATTTTAACCTTGAAGATTTGAAGGCACAGGCTACCTTGGTACATAAATCTATTCTCTGATGCACATGTACCACAGTATTTTCAACTATATGCTAGTTTCTTAATGTATACAAATTGAGATTCTTGGTTAATGGGTAGTTTCTCAAGCTCAATTTTATTGGCCTCTTCAAATGAAAATTGTGAAATTTGCTATGAAATGAAGAATTTCCGTGTAGATTGTCCACATTGGAAATCTTTTCTTAATCAGCATAACAAAAGCAAGTTCAGGAGCATTGTGTTTACTATTTCTTTTTTTTCCAATTGTTTTCGCTTTTAGATTCCAGATGAGGAGATCCTTGGTGACAAGGACCTAGGTGGGAGTTCGAATTCGCTGTCTGGGCTTGACATTCCAGGGAAACAGCTAAATAAGTTTCAGCATCAGTTCTCCTTCTCAAGTCAATATTCAGATGCTACTGAATTTGTATATTGTTATCTCCTTTATTCGATATGATATGTTGCAATTTGGGGTCTTTCCTCTAATATGATACATCTCTCAACAGGACAGTAACAATCCATCTGCCCCTCCTTCACCTGCCACCCAGAATGTGGCTTATAACATGTATGTCATCCATCCAATGTTGAGAGTTATTACCATTACTCTTTTATCATGTATTTTTAATGCTAAATATCAAGAATAAGAGCACATCATTAAGTTTGCTAGTATCTGTAGCTAAACAATCCTTTTCTTTTTGAACATTTCAGAACTAAATGTGAGAAATCTGATGATGATTTAAGCATTGCTGGTTCATTTCATGATCCTCAACTTTCACAAAATTCTTCACCATGCTATGACAATCGCATGGAATTGAATTTGGTGGGAAAAGGTGAACAAGTGGCTGATGCAAAGTTATTCGAGGGCATGCCTGTAAATTCTCGCCAGAGGTATGACACAATTTGCTCAACGACTTGAGATATATTTTGAGGTATTTGTATAGATTTTTAGCCTCGTGAAACATTACTGCACGATGTCCATATCCAATGTTTTAGCATTTTTTTAACTTGTTAAATTTAGCCTTTCTTGCTCCAAGCAAATTCTTTAACTTGGATTTATGCTGTTAGCTAATTGATTTGTTTGGATAAGGAGCTAGTTCTTTGACATTATCAATCTTGTATTAAGAAGTTGTTAGTATGTGTCATTATTCATTTGAAAAGTGAGACTTAGAAACAACCATGAATAATATTGTCGATGAAGAAGGTTTCTGCCAGGAAGTTCTAAGAAAGCAAAAGGCAATCCGTAAACTGAATGAGGAAAGAGGAACCTAATCAAAGAACTTTTACATTGAAATGTACTCTTGTTCAACTGGAGCTCTGTCTGCCTTGTGGTTTGATTCATTTGATTAAAGCTTGTTCTTTACTAACACAAAGAATTTTAGGGCATTGTATCAGTAATTAAATCGCATAATTGACTTCTGACTTTCCTTTACCTACTAATAGCCAACATTCTTAGCTAGCTTGTTTAACATCCACGATTTAAGCAGAGCCATGTTTTTTCCAAGTTCCTAAATTTGCTTGTTTACTCTTTGTGATTAGTGATAAAAGTCAATTCCAAAATGTATCCAGTTGCAATGGGACTTCTGTTCTTCAAACAATAGATGATGTACCAACTGAAGTAATCAGTAAACATTGTAGAACCTCAGGTAAGTATCGTGATTGTTAATAGCTTTTGATCTTAACAAATAATTTTTCAGTATATTAGTTTCTGTACGAAATAATTTTTCAGCATATTCTTTTTGTTGTTTTGTTTTGCTTTGTTTTAATATTTTCTTGCTAAATCAAGACTGTATTTAGCAGCTAACAGTGAAGATTTTGATGAGAAGACTAAGGGTCATGTTGTTCAGCAAAGAGGACGTTTCAAAGTTACGTCAGAGAATGTCGACTTGGAAAAGGTGAATGCATAGATTTAAGTTTTCATTTTGCAATAAATTTAGGAACTCCACCTATGTGAGTTTTGCAAAGCACAACCACAGTTCTAAACACAGATAAAGGAGGACAATTATGAGCAAGTCTGTTGCTAACATAAAAAACAGTCTTCAGTAATGTTTTAGATACTGAATGAAATAGATACAGAGGTTTTATATGACCAACCACAACTAGCTTTTTTGAATTGCGATGTAGTTGATTAATATATCATATATTATATGCACACACATTGATATCCTTCCTCACAAGAAATAATTTCTTCCTACAGGTAGGTGCATCTCCAATGCTACACAAGAGTCAGAGCTTGCTGGTTGGTTTCCCTATTTTTTCTAAATACCTTTTCTAACGGATGGACATATTTCTTTTGCTCACTAAGTGCTTAGTTTGAAAGCTAATTCCTTATTTCCTTTCAATAACGCTTAGCTCATACAAATACTATAATATTGGCTAAGTAGACATTGCTATGTCACTGTTGTATCTGTTCGGCTTTTCTCTTTTTTTATTTTCTATCGCAGTTTCCTAAACAAATGTCATGGATCATGTAGGTGATGCCACAAACTCTTGCTGCTGCTCAACCATTACCACTTGATGCTACACCACCAAATCTTCTTACACCATCCCATTTTCCAGCGTTGCAGAGTATTTTAGAGGCAAATATTCTTCAAAGGGTAAGAATGGATCTACCATTATGACACATTAGTTTTTCAGTTTTTGTTTATCCAACGTCTTTTCCCCCTTCCTAAACAGGAAAGTATTCTTAGATTGATGAGGCAAGTGGCCCTTGGAGACACTACGGGTATGAACAATCAATGCCTATTGAAATTCATCTATTGTATCCCTTTGTGTTGGTCACATTTTTATCCTTTTCTACCAACATTGCAGTGGATGCCGGATGCATGCCATTAAATTCGCTTGGTGTGGAGAAATCGCTGGTATGAGCTTGCATTATAGTCTTTCAACATCCATTTGCAATAAAAACCATTTAAGTGACTTTTGCACCTTTTTCGTATCAATATAAAGTATATCTCCTTCCTCTATTTCTTGTAGTTGGAGGTTGCTCATGACAAAGAGAAGGAATTAATTAGTGAAAACACTGAATTGCAGTGGAGGTATCATCGTTACTCAGTAATGCCATATGCCTATATTGAAGATTGTATCTTCTGCCATTGAAACTAGTATTTCCTTGATATACAGGTTGATACGTGCTCAAGAAGAACTTCAAAAATACAAAGCAGAAAACGCTCAAAATAACTCTTGAAATAGGAAACTGCATAGGGGATATCACAATCTTTATAGTTCGGACTCAAGTGGCATACATTGATGTTATTAAAAAACTGTAAAGGAGAAATGATTAGTAGCAGCAGGTTATAATTTTGATTTGTACATTAAGTTTATAGTAGGCAGTGAGATGCTGGTTTTATTATCTCTATTTATTATTTTACTGCATTTACTCGACCCGTTCTTGTATATGTTAGTCCAAACTGTAGAGAACCCAGTCCTTGATAATAATACCAACTGTTGTATTTGAATGAATTCCTGAAGATGTTAGTCCATTTTATTTACTTACAGCCTGAGAAAATTTGTGGCCTGTTGCTCAAATTCTTCAAAAAAGTCAATGGGTGTGTGTCGGATTAGTGTATTTTTGGAGAATCCAACACGGATGCGGAATCCAACACGGAATAGTCTTTTCTGTCAGCTGAACTGTTGAAGTTATCCACTCTCATGTTTGGTATATTCTTGATTGTGTTTGAATCTTAAATAGTCTGTTTGGACGGGCTTATAACTTATGACTTATAAGTCAAAAGACATAACTTGAGATTTTAAACTTATTTTGGCTTAAAAACAAATGCATAAATATTCTTTTATTTTACTCAAACACTAGAAAACGGCATAGAATCATCTACAGTAAGTCAATTCAAACGAACTCTAAATCTTGTCTTTTGGTTCGATTTTGTGAAGATGTTATACTATTTCCCTTCAGCTTCATTCTTAAAATGAGTAAAAAAAATTGTTGTTTTGTCAAATTTCGGAATAATTAAGAGTTGGCTACATAATTGTCATAGCTTTTGCATTTTTCTTCATAAATAGCAGAGTTTATAATCAATTTTAACATAATATAAAATTCTACAGATAAAATAATTAAATGACGTCTACTAAAATCAGGGATTTCATAGTTATTCCTTTTTCTGAAGAAATAGTTGCTTATTTCTTTAGTCTACTTTGTATGTTATTACACGACGGTCAGACGGTGTATATTTAAAAATTAATGGTTATTAAGAAAAAAATGAAATTTCCATTCATACAAAATAAAATGTTCACTAAGATTGGTAATAATATAAATTAAGATATTACATTATACGTGATATAAATCACTACTATGCCATTTACATTTGCAATATTATTTCAAATATACAATTTACATACATACCATATCTGATATATACTGCTAATATCAACATAATATATATACAATACATGACATAACTATTTATATAAGGCAAAATTACTAAACTATACTACATATGTTTACATACTATCGTTAATCCCTACTCTTTCATAAAAATTTAAAAATTCCTATTTTTCCCCAAATCCTCTATCTCGGATACTTTATTCTGAAAGAACCCAAAACCCACCTTTCTCATCCCCAAAATCTCGCCTCTTATTTTTCCCCACTACCAAATCAGTTACCGAATTCAAAGCAATTTGATTTTCAAACGATTCTATCTCAATTCAACCGTCCAAAGTTCAAAATAGGTATATCATCTTCTTCATTTTTCTTTCAAAATCAATTTTTGTGTTTCAATTGATTTTGGATCAGTTGTCAAAATGGATCATCCGTCTTTTAATATTGGGATTTCCCAAATAATAACACCTAACAATGATCAAATTTTTGATTCAGATGACCCCAACTGTGCAGAACAGAGGTCTAAAAGTTTGCATGCACCGGCATTAATGGCAAATCAAACTTCTACGAAGAGAAAATCGAAAAAGGAAGTGGGGGCATCATCTAAAGCAAAGGATGCAAAAACTCAAAAGAAAAGGGGTAGAAAGGTTGCCCCTCCCATTTCTTGACCAACACTACCCATGGTATGCATTTCTTTTGCTTTTAATTTAGACATTGTTAAAAAATAAAGTTTTATTGTATATATTGAAATTTGGAGTTGTTACCCAGAAACACTGATTGTTTTGTCAAATATTGGTATTGAGTATACCTTTTACATTTGTAGATGAAAGACTATTTTTTGTCAAATTTTTTGTGTTGAGAACTATATCTAAGATAGGCGTTCAATTCACAGTATGATATGTAGGTTGTTTGTTGTACAATGTATCATATTCATAAATTGTAATAATGAATGATACGTAAACAAAATATAATAGATCTGGTAGTTAGCATTTTGAATCATATTTAAATATGTGTAAATTTCATATATGACATATATTATAGTACTATTTTCAAGCTATAACAGTAGATTTAGACTTTCAAGTTATAGCATTAAAAATTTCAGGTTATAACAAGTTAAAAAAAAAAATATTTTTATTAATTGGAAAAAACTTAAAAAATAAATAAAAAGATAAACAAAAATTATAAAAAAAATGGAATTAGAAATAATAAAGTAAAAAACTGAATTTGTGGGTTATAATTTAATTTGAATTTATTGTAGATAATTAATGATTAGCATGAAATAAGGGATCCAAACTAATTAAGAATATTTAGTTTCCTTAATTCACTCTAATTTGTTAAAATTAATTCAAAAATCTGATTTTAAAAATCAATTTCCATTTATTTAATAAATGATTAATCTATTTATGGTTTTTTATTATTAATTAATAATACGTAATTAATAAGGAAAAAATGGAAAAAAAAACGGAATAGGGGTGTCAATTAAATTTGAATTAATTTAAGATAATTATTAATTAGCATGAATTAAGGAATCTCAAACTAATTAAGAATATTCAGTTTCCTTAATTCACTCTAATTTGTTAAAATTAATTCAAAAATCTGATTTTATCCATTTTTCTTCCACGTTTCTCTCTCTTCAATTTTCTTCCAGAAATTTTGTCACTGGCGACTAATTGATTTTTTTTTTTTGTTTGAAAAATCCTATTTTTTTGTGATGGACAACTACATATCAATATTAATTAAACATGGCGGAAGATGGGACCCTTCAGGTTAGTATTTTTAATTGTTTACTATTTGGATTTCAGTGAAATGAAAAAAAAAATGAAACTGTAAATCACATTTTGTGATTTTGTTTTTGTACATCGTCACTATATTGAATGTGATATGTTTTTTTGTATAAACAATACGTTTTGTTCATAATACGTATTAGTTGTTGTGAAACTGTAATATTAGTCATTTTCTTGGTAAGTTTCTGTTTTTTGGTAGGGGTTTAATGTCACTATATTTTTTGTTTTTTGGTTATTTTTTATACTGGCAATACAATGATTTCGTGAGAAGCTGCCGCAATATATGAAAGATTTGAGTATAAATGTATAACATATAAATATTTTTATCGTTGTAGATTGGGTACGTAGATGAAAATTATAATATTGATTACTGTTTTTTTTTCCTGAAAAAATAAATTAAAATGTATAGTTTTGAATGAATTTGTTAGTATAAGTGTAATGAATTTGGTATGAAAGTGTATTCACTAATGTGAAAAAAAGGTTATTTAGAATTTTGAAGAATTGTATGACAGTTGTTTTAAGTTGGTATGAAAGTGTGTTAACTAGTTAGTAAAAAAAGTTATTTAGAATTTTGAATAATTGTATGGAAAATGTTTTAAGTTGGTATGAAATTTGAAATGTTATTGTTTATATAAGTTTTGTCAATTATGTATAAATTTGTGTGAAAGGAATGAACTATTTGGTATGAGAAATGTATAAATTTGGTATAAATGATGATTGTATGTATGAAATTTGTGTTTAAGTGGGTATGAAATTTGTATTTAAGTGGGTATGAAATCTGAAAAGTTATTTTTTAATGAAATCTGTTTGTAGTTTACTGTTTGAATGATTTTTGTATGAAAAAATAATGATAAGTGTGTATAATTTTTTTTTTATTTTTTGTATTATGTAAGACTAATTGTTATTTTTTTTTTAATGAAACAGAGAAATATGTTGATTTTCAGATGGAGGGAATTATATATGAGTATTCCAGTCTTTATAGTGGTCTAGTAAGTGCGATAACATCGCAGCTAATGATAGATGCTAATATTCACAATATAGAGATAAAATATATAGTTAGTGATAAATGTCCCCCTGTTAGTATCCACAATGATGTTGGTGTGCGGATTTTTTTAGATCAAAAGAAAGCTAATGTAGATTTCTTTACGATTTCATATACTTGGAAATAAAATTTATTCCAAATTACTCCCTCCGTCCCATTTTATGTGGCAACATTTGACCGGGCACGGAGTTTAAGAAATAAATGAAGACTTTGAAATATTTACCAAATTGCCCTTTTAAAAAGTAGACTCAATTTCTCTCTCCTCATAAATGTATTGGAGTATTATTTTAAGATTAAGTGGGATCAACAAGGATAAAAAATGAATTGTACCTTTAAATACTTTCCTTATAAGGAAATGTGACATTCTTTTTGGGACTGACCAAAAAGGAAATGTTGCCACATAAAATGGGACAGAGGGAGTAATATATAAGATAGTGTAAATATTTGTACAGGTTTCCGATTTCAGATTCCACATTTCATAGACGTGATTCATTAATTATTCATACAGATTTCATATACTTGGACATAAAATTTATTCCAGATTAATATATAAGATAGTGTAAATATTTGTACAGATTTCAGATTTCAAATTTCATATACGCGATTCATTAATTATTCATATAGATCTAATATACTTGGAAATAAAATGTGTTCCAGATTAATATATAAGATAGTGTAAATATATAACAAACTTTATACCAATTTTATTCAAGTTTCATTCCAACATGAACTTCAGCTTATATCACACATATTATACCAACAATAAATCAATTTCATATAATCACACAATGCATATCATTTGTATACCAATATTATATCACAATTAATACAATATCCAACCATCAAACATTAAATTCAGTGTCATACACATATTAATCAAATTTCACACACATTTCATCCATTAATTGTACAATTTGGATACACACTGATATTTTAAAATAGTGAATCCAAATGGTATGAAGTCTGTATATTACTAGTATCCTGAAATTATAATAGTCAAACAGTAATTCATATGTAGATGATATCTGATTGGAAGAAAACATATGGTATTATATATCATGAAATACTTAAACACAAAAAAGTTGTCCAAAAGTGGAAAAAAATAGCATGTAATTCTACAAAAGTAGAAGGTGCAATCAACTATTTCAAATTTCTTGTAGTGGTATCATTGTTGCAAATTTACCAACAACTTCATTGACTAACTTGGTGTGAACAGATCCTCCCC